TGGAAAACTTTCAGGAAAAGGAGAAAATTTGATGACCCAATTTTTGCCTACACTGCATTTCTGGGTAATGCTATTTCCCTGAAAGTGCAAGTCAGCCAAACTCTAATTGTATTGTGCTATCTACATTGGAGTCCCAAGGATGACTGGCTCCTACTTCATCCCATAGCATTCCCCTTATTTCAACCCACTAGTTCAATTTCTCTACTCAAATACTAATTTTCTTAACTCAATAAAGGGACAATTATGGTTCTAAGACTGACTTGGAAAATATAAGAAATAAGTTACACCCTGGATTTATTCTATAGGTCTCTGACCACACAATACATGTCATATATTTAACTTTCTACTTGACATTATGTTTGCCTTGCCATTGACTGTCTTCTGAGTGTCCACAAATGTTAGCTTTGCAAACTGCCACCAAATGTGTATAATCTCAGGCACAAAGGTGCAAAGTAATACATGTTAATAAAATATAAGAGGGGGACTGGGATTGTGGCTCAGTGGTAGAGTGCTCACATAGCACGGGCGGGACCCAGGTTCAATCCTCAGCACCACATAAAAATAAAGGCATTGTGTTGTGTCCATCTACACCTAAAAAATAAATATTAAAAAAATATATAAGAGAATTGCATGATATAAACTAATATACTGAATTACCCCAAAATCAGTTGGAAAGACTATTATTGATCTACACATGGTATGGCCTTGGTGACCTAGATTACTTGTTTTTGGATAGACACAAAGATACATAGCTAAATCTACTTTAGCATCAACTTTAATATAATGCTATTGTAAACAAGCCAATATCTCTTTCTTTCATTGACATTTAAAATCAAATTAGCAGCTTGGTTTACATAAAGTCTTACTGATTTATTAAAAAGAAAATAATGTGGGCCAGGTGCAGTGGGGCATGCCTGTGATCCCAGTGACTCAGGAGACTGAAGCAGAAGGAGGACAAGTTCAAAGCAGCCTCAGATACTTAGCAAAACACTGTCTCAAAATAAGAAATTGGGCTGGGGATGAGGCTCAAGCAGTAGCACGCTCTCCTGGCATGCGCATGGTGCTGGGTTCGATCCTCAGCACCACATAAAAATAAAATAAAGATGTTGTGTCCACCGAAAACTGAAAAATAAATATTTAAAAAATTCTTCTTTCTCTCTCTTAAAAAAATAATAAAAAGGATTGGGGCTGGGATTGTGGCTCTGTGATAGAGCACTCACCTAGCATGCATGAGGTACTGGGTTTGATCCTCAGCACACATAAAAATAAATAAAATAAATAAAGGTATTGTGTCTATCTACAACTAAAAAAAATATTTTAAAAAGTTGAAAGATGTGGCTCAATGGTTGAGTGCCCCTGGGTTCAATCCCTGGTATCAATAATAGTAATAATAATGGTTTGGGAATATTTACCTTTCATTTGCTATTTAGAATTGAGGAAAACAATAGAAATTAAACAGGGAAAGTAGCATGAAGAAAGGGTCTGAAAGCAAATAAAAGTTAGCCAAAAAAGCTAAGTTAGTAGCAAAGGGAAAGTTCAGGTTTTGTGAAATTTAAAGTTCATAGAATTTGTGGGTGCCCTTTAAGAAAAAAATAATACAGGGTTATGAATACAAAGTTAGGCAGGATGTTGAATATATATTTTAAATGAAAAAAGAAATAATTGTCTATTGTCTTTCAAATTCAGATGGCTTTCTCTGAGAAACTTTAGAAAATTAGCTGGCCATATTTATGTAGATAGGTTTCCTTTTTTACAACCTGACTTCCTCTCCCACCCAGAATACTCTGTATCTTCCAGAAAATTCTGACATTGTCAAGATCCCATCTAATTGAGGAGCTATAGCACAGATTACTTCTTTGGGGATCTCCCTCTAGTCAGCTGTATGCCTAAATACATAAACTAAATATGGTAGCCCTTAGGGGTATGACCTGGAAAAGAAGTTACATTACATTGTTTTGTATAGCTGCTGTAGGAACAAAACTTAAAATCCCTGTACTGTGTCTGTATGTGATTCTAGCTTGAAAGAGATGTAATCTGTAGGCATGTAGGGCCAAGCAATGAAAAGCAAGATTCATTTACATTTATTATTTTTAAAAGTTATTTTCAAAAAGTTTGAGTATCAATAATTCCAGCAAGCAGAGATGATCACTTAGATTCATCCATAGTATTATCCCCAGAATCATACACTTCAAGATCACATGTTACAAATTTTCACTGTCCTTATAAGTTGTGTGGGAATATATACATATATACAGGTATGTTGGACTGCTGTCAGTGACTGATTATTAGTTGTTTAAGATTATCCCAAATTCTGCATTAGTGTTTTCACAACCTCAATAATGTTATATGCTTGGTAGTAATGACAGGAGAGAATGATATCAGATGTGTGAAAAAGCTAAATTCTTTACTTGTATCTACTTATTTGGTGTTCACAATGAATCTATGAGGAAAATTATATGATCCCCAGTTTACATATGAAGAAGCTGAGATACAGACAGCATTAACTTATCCAAGGAAATAAGGTATGCATTGGCGTCAGAGACTCTAGGCCTGAAGTACAAAGTCTAGTGCCTCACCAAGCTGCACAAACTCACAATTTATACTCATCAGAGTAGAAATTATTTAATTTTGATATAAATACTCAGCTATATGTAATATGTTAATATATTAAGTTTTATATATTAATAATATATGTAATACTCAGCTATAAATGCTTACTCTTTTGTTTTCAGTGAAAGGATAATTATTTTCCTTTCTATTATATTATACTAGTTGTAAGAGCATGTGGCTGGAAGTATATTTTCTTTTTGATCTCTGCTTATATGTTTCTTAGGAAATATTCTACAGCTTGTGTGTTAAAACATGTCTCTATCTTCCTTAGTTTCATTTTGCTTTCCCAGTTAGAGTTTGGGCTTCATTCGGTCAAGAACTTGGTCTTCTGCTTCCCCTTGATCTTGTAGAATCATGGCATAGTGCCAGCCTCAGAGAAAGGGGATAACAAACATTATTTTTTTTCATTGATACTGTTGTTTCTATCCACAGCTACTGCAGACAGTCAGTTACCTGAAATTTACATTGAAAACATCTTTCAAACAAGAGTTATTGGGTGTCTATTACATGGTAGAGACATAAGAATAATATAAATACAATTCTGCTGCCATTGAAGTTTTCATGGTATAATTTAGGAAAAAATGTATGTAAACAAATAATGTAGAGATGAGATATAGAGCCATTGGTAGGATTTGATAAATGTTTGATGGGTAAATAAATGAGTTTTACAGAAATGAAGTGATCCAATCCTTGTTTGGGTAAGAGATCCCCAATTCATACATTATTGAAAATGAAATAAACTTTTAGACATTATTTTCTGATCTTCCATTTTATATGTGAAAAACTAGAGTGTTTTGGTACCAAGTGGTATTTCCTCTGTTAGTCCAGACTTAACTACAAAGAAAAACAATTGATAAACAATGACAAGAACAAAACCCTAGCAATCCTTTTAATCCCACGAGGGCTTTGTATGAACACCATCTTTTATTGTTGTTCTAATTATTTATATATGAAAGCAGAATGCACTTTGACACATCATACATATCTAACTTCTCATTCTTCTGGTTGTACATGATGTAGAATTACACAGGTCATGTAACCACATATGCACATAGGGAAATAATGTTCAATTCATTCTACTATCATTCCTATCCTCATTCCCCCTCCCCTCCTTTCACTCCCCTCTGTCTAATCCAAAGTACCTCTATTCTTCCCTAGCTTCTACCCCCTTATTGTGAATTAGCATCCATATATCAGAAAAAAAAAACATTTGGCCTTTGGGTTTGGGGGATTGGCTTATTTAGCCTAGCATGATATTTTCCAACTCCATCCATTTATTGGCAAATTCCATAATTTCATTCTACTTTAAGGGTAAGTAATATTCCATTGTGTATACATACCATATTTTCTTTATCCATTCATCTTTCTAAGAGCACCTAGATTGGTTCCATAGCTTGGCTATTGTGAATTGAGCTGATGTAAACATTGATATGGCTGCATTGCTTTAGTATGCTGATTTTAAGTCCTTTGGGTATATGCTAAGGAGTGGGATAACTGGGTCAAATAGTGGTTCCATCCCTCGTTTTCTGAGGAATCTCCACACTGCTTTCCATAATTGTTGCACCAATTTGAAATCCCACTAGCAGTGTACGAGTGTACCTTTTTATTCACATCCTTTCCAACATTTATTGTTGCTTATAGTCTGGACAATTGCTATTCTGACTGGAATGAGAGAAAATATTAGAGTATTTTTGTTTTGCATTTCTCTAATTGCTAGAGAAGTTGAATATTTTTTCATATATTTGTTGATAGATTATATATCATCTTCTGTGAAATGTCTGTTTAGTACCTTAGCCCATTTATTGATTGGCTTATTTGTTTTTTTTTTTTTGGATTTAAGTTTTTTTGAGTTCTTTATGGAGATTAGTGCACTAACTGATGTGCATGTGGTAAAGATTTTCTCCCATTCTGTAGGCTCTCTCTATACATTATTGTTTCCTTTGCTGAAAAGAAGCTTTTTTGTTTGAGTGCATCCCACTTATTGATTCTGGAATTTATTTCTTGTGCTTTAGGAGTCATGTTAAGGAAATCAGGTCCTAAGCCAATATGACAAAGATTTGGGCTTAATTTTTCTTCTTTTAGGCCCAGGGTCTCTGGTCTAATTCCTAGGTATTTGATCCACATCCCAGCTTCCTTTTGGTCATACGGTGTATGAATTCCCTAACAAAGGGAGCTACCTTTATTCTTAGTTGTATCTTCCCATTACCTTTTCACCCCACATCAAAAAGTACAGAATGTAGAATACCTGCTGCCCAAGTGAGCAACAGTAAATGTTGTGTTTAATAGAATGAATAATTAAAATTGCTTATCTTCTTGCCCTCACTTCATGTCAATATAAACAGCTGTGTGTGTGTGTGTGTGTGTGTGTGTGTGTGTGTGTGTGTGTGTGCTGCTGGGGATTGGGGATTGAACCCAGGTCCTTTTGCATGCAAGGCAAGCACTCTACCAACTGGGCTACATCCCCAGCCCATAAACAGCTTTTTTGTCACTTGCTCTTGCTGGTAGTTCTGACTTGTTTTGAAATCAATGCATTTGTTTATTTTCTCCTTTATGAAAGAAGGATTAAAATCCCTAGTTGTATAAACAATATAAATAAAATGATATTAAGAAGAAGAAACATTACATTTGAAAAAAAATGGATTAGACAACCATTTTCAGGGACCTGTGTTTCCAGTGACATCTCCAAAAACATAACTTCCTGTGCAGCACAGCACAACAATAATTGGGAGCAAGGTGTGTTACAGACCAAGGGAGTCAAGGAAATGAATAACATAAAGACCGATTCTCCAAAGCAAAGACTTTTTCTGAGAATAATAGGAAATTGCAATCTGGGACAAGCCTACCATGGCAGACCACAGATGCTTTCAAAGGGGTTGGGAGAAAGGAGAATCTTTGAAAAATAAGGCATTCCAGGTAAGCTATCAGGAAACAAAGAATATTGGTTACAATGGCTTGTTGCAGAAGTTGGCATGAGCTCATTGTAGATATAGCCATTATTAGGCAAGTGTCCTTATCCAAGCAGTTATCTGGAGTACTGAAATTTTGAGGAATTATTTGGATAGTTCCTATCTCATAGGCATGTGGTAAAGAACCCCTCCTCTAAGAGCATCTCTTCCATTGGCCTCTGCCTTCATTATTTTTAGGGTTTGATATTAATGACTCCATTTTGATACTGATAACTTTCATAATATGCCAACAAAAGTTTTAAGAGGGAGGGAAGGAAGGAAGGAAGGAAGGGCAGAAATTATATATAATAATTTTCGCCAGGCATGTTGCACACCTGTAATCCCAGCAATTTGGGAGGCTGAAACAGGAAGATGGCCAACCTCAGCAACTTAGTGAGGCTCTAAGCAACTTAGGTAAACCGTGTCTTAAAATAAAAAATAAAAAGAATTGTAATGTAGTTCAGTGATAAAGTGCTCCTGGGTCTAATCTCTGGTACAAAAAAAGAAAAGAATTATTTACAAATATATGAAGGTTGGGAGGCCTGTCTTTGTAAATTTAATAACAACTTTCTTTTGGTTGGTTGATTGAGGATAATTTTGATAGTGAGATGTTTATTTCCAGGATCAGGATTTCTAAATACATCAAGGAGGTCCAGCTGGTAGCTGGGATAAAGCATGAATGTCAGGAGCCCCAAGCAGCTGCTAAGGAAGGACCTGTCCTTTGCAAACTTTAGAAAAGGGAGAAAATTCTCACTGTCAGCATTCCCTGTTGGTCATTTACAGAGTATATCTGCCAAGTCAGAATGCTGACATAAAACCCAAATAATAAACAACATCCAATTCTTTCAAAGGATGTGGATTTATTCACAAAGGCATCTACTAGTAGATTCTTTTCAGTTCTAGGAGCCAAATTATTCACTCCTTATCTCCTGAAGGTAACTGAGGAGAGCTTCAAGTGGGGAAGATTAAAAAAAAAAAGCCAAATGGAGGCTTCTTGGAAAAGCTCTTTGATACAACTAATTGTGATGCTCTGCTGGATAATTTGCTTGCTTCGAGTGCATGATTAATGGAATTATTATTCATAATTAGGAAATGCCCAGAGAGCAAAAAACATAAACAATATTCTGACTGCCTGTCAGTAATTATCAAGCTCACATTAATAATGCCCAGGAAATAAAAAGGTTCTGGCATTTTCTTTTAATTTTATTTAGGAATGCCATTTCTAACAGCAATTGAGTGCCGTGGGCAGGGTAGAGCCTGTGGATTATATCTACTTGAAGTGCTATTTCTCATGGCATCCCGTGCAGAGTACACAGAGGAGGCCAGTCAGATGTCATTGCTTAATTAATTAGGGCTTTTCTATGAGGATCCTTTGTAAATGATATCTTCCCCTTCCCTATCTCTACCTGAAATCACATGCACTACACCATAGGGGAGCCATTCTTCTCTGCCACTGAGGAATAATTTCATAGAGGAAACAAAATTGTAGAAATGGAATAGAATGGCATTAATGGCTTGAAGAATCACACTTGAGGACTTCTTAAATTCCCTTGAAAGGACATCTAATTAGTTTCATCTGAGAAGTCACAATGCCCAAAGCACCAAGTGAAAGGTAACATTTAGGCAATAGGGAAGTAATACAAGGAAGGGAGGAGGCCATGGTGGCTATGTGAATCAAGTAATCACTACTGAGGGCAATTAGTGCTCAATCCCACTAGAGACCTATGGCCTAGCTGTCGTTGGTTGGCCATTGCTTCTTGAGGTTACTAACCACTTGGAGTGTTTTATCCTGCCCCTTATAGACTCTAAGTTAGCTTCAAACAAAGCCCTGTCAGAGTAGGGAGTGTGCAGTAAGCTGACTTTCGCATATTGAGGTAAAGGAGGAGTGAAGGGGTAGGTTACTGTTTTACTCAGCTTTTGATCACTGTGATCAAAAGACATGACAAGAACAATAAAAAGAGGAAAAGTTTATTTGGGGACTCATGGTTTTAGAGGTCTCAGTTCATAGACATCCAGCTCTATTCCTCAGAGTCTGAGGCCAGGCAGAACATCATTGCGGAAGAGTGTGGCAGAGGGAAGCTGCTCACCAGGAAGGCTGGGAGGAGAGGGGGAGGGGGAGAGGGAGAGTAAGAGCTCAGCTCAACAAGGACAAAATATATACTCAAAAGGTACACCCCTAGGGATCCACCTCCTCCAGCCACACCCTACCAACCTTCAGTTACCACTCAATTAATCCCTATCAGGGGATTAATTCACTGATTGTGTTAAGACTACCATAACCTAAACTCTCAGGCACTATCTTATACATACTACTTTTGAGGGATACCATATATTTAAACCATAACAGTTACCAAGATTATTAGTTAAGGGGCTCAAACCAAAGGTGAAAAACGTCTAATCCCTACCTAGAACAATCTAGACCACTGATTCAGAAATCTTTTCTTTATTCTTGTTTTTAGTTGTTGATGGATCTTTATTTTATTTATTTATATGTGTTGCTGAGGATTGAACCCAGTTCCTCACACATGCTAGGCAAGCGCTCTACCACTGAGCTATAACCCCAGCCCCTGATTCAGAAATCTTTAATAGCTCCTCTTAGAAGGCCACTAAGCAAGTCAATATAGTTTCCCTGGGATTATCATATGGAATAGAGTTGGAGGCCAGATACAACATTTTGCAGAATATACTAGTATTTCTACACTGTATGACAGACACATACCTAATTTAGGAAATTTGCTGCTCATTAAGTTTCCCACTAATATCTCTTGGGCTCATTGGGAATTTTCAGTATGTGGCAATTTCTGAGCTGCATGCTTAGTGCATGGTAGAAGGCTATTGTTCTATGTCATGGTCCACTGCTTAACACAATATGCCAACAGCCAGAGGGATAGTTTTCTTTCTCACCGAGTCTCTCAGATGACATACTTTCCCAACATTATCATTATTGTCTCTGTAACTTGATTTTCTACCAGAGTTAGATCTTTGGAGAAAAACAGATTTTAGCTTTTCCCCAAGAAATGAATCTCAGTGGTGATATTAACAAGTTCAACTCAGATAAAACACTTTATTCTTATTGCTGCAAATATGTATCATTTGCATTATCTATAAACTTATTTTTCTCTGTAGTTTGAGAACATAGTTTTGGGATGACATATAGTTTTACAACAGATTTGCTAATATTTCAGTTACTAAAACATGAGTTTTATTTTAGCATTGTTTTATGAATGAAAAACAGTTAATTATGTCATGACAGGGGTATAGATCTTCCTTTATCATTTGTAGATCTTATAAAAGCTAAACTCTGGCAGGGATTTCTTTTTCTGATTTGTGATAATTTTGAAACTTTTGTGGGGGCAATGCTGGGGATCCAACTCTGGGTTTCACACATGCTGGGCAAGTACTCTACTACTAGGCTGGTACTGGAGATTGAACTCAGAGTACTTTACCACTGAACCATATCCCCATCCCTTTTTATTTTTGCTTTGAGATAGGGTCATAAAAGTTGCTTAGAGCCTGCTAAGTTGCTGAAGCTGGCCTTGAATTTGTGATCCTCCTGCCCCAGCCTCCCAAGTGGCTAGGATTACAGGAGTAAGTCACCGTGCCTGGCTGAAACTTTTTAATTGTACCTAGTATGTTCTATGAAAATGAAAATGAAATATCTCCCACTGTTTTCATCCTGACAGGATTTCCAAAGAATAAGGACATTTTATTGCTTCAGTGCTATGTAGTTAACAACTTCAGATAACAAAACTAAGACATAAAAACATAAACTCAATTGTTCTAGGTCACAAAGTTTTCTTATCTGTAAAAAGAGAGTGATAATGGAACTTACTTTGTAAATTTATTATGATCTTAAATGAGTAAACACTGTAAACACTCTATGAAGCTCTGATAGAGTAAGATCTATACAATTGCTTTTCCAAATGAAATAGATAATTAGACCAGCTTTCTTCCTCTTCCTTATTTACATTTTTTTTGCTCTTACTCATATTAGACACAAAAAGAAACTACCAATTCTTCCACAAAGATGCAAGATCATTCATTTTTATATAGTTGTGTGCTTTATGACATCATTGAAACCTTCCTTGGCAACAATATGAAGGTATTGAATGGTATGTTAAATTGAAATGTGAATATTGTCCTTGACCAAGTAGCTGGATTTGTAAAATGGAGCCTTCCAGATTTGATTTATTTTCTCTGCTTTTAAATGCAGCCAGGTGCCTTAATGGAAAGAATACCTTAGGCTAGTCCCATTTAGTCATCAGTTGGCTTTGGTATATCAAGAATTCTCTCTGACTCTCAATATCTGTAGACCTTGAAAAACTCTCTGAGTACCCGTAAAAAGGACTTAGATCCCTCAGGAATAAAGTTCTGATTTACTCTCCCATTCAAATAAGAGGCTAAGTGCTTGTTCATGATGATGAAAATCTGGAGTTCTGATAAAACAGAAGGTGGTGAATATATTCCACCTTCAAAGTCAGGTAAAACAGCAGTCATAAAATTATTTAGAACGTCATAAGAG